AGTCATCTTTGTTGCCCTTGTACTTCTTGTTGTACTTGTCTTTCTTGGGCTTGGGGCATTGATGAGCTAGATGACCAAGTTCTCCATAATTGTAGTAATCCATCTTCAAGATTGGCTTCCTTCTATTGCTAGTGAAGAACTTCTTTTTCTTGCCATCAAACTTGACGCCGTTCTTGTTTAGCTTCTTAAGCATCTTGGCGGTTCTTTTTACCATGAGAGCAAGACTTCCATCATCAATTTCATCATCACTTGAGCTCTCATACTCAATTCTTGCTTTGCCCTTCTCTTGGCTAGCCTTGAATGTCAAGTCTTTATCTTTCTTCTTGGTAGAGGATGAGCCATCTTGTGGTGTAATGTGCATGTACATCTCATGAGCATTGATCTTTTCTAAGATTTGAGTTGGTGTAGCGGTGGAAAGATCATCTTGATGAAGCACGGTCACAATATGCCCATATTTGTCAATGAGGAGGACACTCAAGATTTTTCTTACAACATTGGATGGTTGCATTTGAGTGAGTCCAAGCCTATTAACTTCCTCTACAAGAACATTTAAGCGTGAGTATATCTCATTAGCACTCTCTTTAGGAAGCATCTCAAAAGAATTAAGCTTTTTCATGATGAGATGATAGTGTTCCTCACGCTCACTCTTTGTTCCCTCATGGAGCACACAAATGTCCGACCATAGTGTATGGGTGTCCTTGTGGTTTCTTACATAGTTAAACACATCTTTGCAAAGGCCTCTAAAGATAGTGTTTCTAGCCTTTGCATTTCATTTTTTGTAATTCACTTCATCCTTTGAAGGTGCGTGAGATCCCTAGGTTTTGGGAAACCTTGAGAGGCGGCTCTAAGAATTCCAACATGTAGAGCTTCTAAATACGCCTCCATATGGATTTTCCAATAAGAAAAATCATCTCCCTCAAAGATAAGAGGAGGTCCATCCTCGTGAGACATCTTTCTCTAGGCGGTTAAGCCTAAATACATGAGCACGAGGCTCCAATACCAATTGAAAGGATCAAGATGCCCAAGAGAGGGGGATGAATTGGGCTAATCCTAAAATTCTTTGCAATAAATAAACCCTACACTTATCCCACTTCACCCCTTGTGCCTAGAAAGTGATTCGATTAATCTATCGCACAAAAGTTTAGCACCCTAAGTTCCAATCCTACTCTAGCATGGCAATTATAAGAATGTAAAGACAAGAATTGAATTCCTCAAATATAAATGCTTAAAGTAAAGAGATGAGAAGGAACGCGGCAATGTTTCGCCGAGGTATCGGAGAGTCGCCACTCCATACTAGTCCTCATTGGAGCACCCGTGCAAGGGTGTAGCTCCCCCTTGATCCGTGCATGGATCAAGTGCTCTCTACGGGTTAATTCTTCGACACTCCATCGCGGTGAATCACCCATAACCGCTCATAACTTGAGTTGGGTCATCCACAAGCTCCGTCGGATGATCACCAAACTCCCAATCACCACCAAGCCATCTAGGTGATGGTGATCACCAAGAGTAACAAGCAAAAACTCTCACTTGACCACAACAAGCCTAATGAGAAGGGTGGATGTACACTTGCTACTCTCTTTTCACTAATGAGGCCTTAATCTTAGATTCTCAAATCTCAATCACCTCACTAGGCTCTTGTTCTCCTAAGCACTCTCAAGGGTGTTTCTCAGCTGTTGAAATAGGCAAGAGTACTCCCTTGAATGAATAGAGAAAGTATTTATACCCCCTCATTCAAAATGAACCGTCATGTGCTTGAGTCAGCACCCTGCGGGGTGATCGGACGCTCTGGTCAGTTCTCCCCGCCACAGAGCCGTTAAGTTGTGACTGGACTCTAACCTGCGTCCGGACAGCACTGACCGAACGCGTTTGGTCACGAAAACTGCTCTTTGGACCTTTACTGATGCTGACCGGACTCTGGCACCCAGCGTTCGGTCACATTGCTGTTTAGCGTCCGGTCAGTAACCGGAACCTGACCAGCATCCGGTCAGCATTGACCGGACACATCCGATCAGGATTCTCCCTCTCTAGATTCTTACTGGAGTTGATCGAACTCTGACACTCAGCATCCGGTCACTTTTCACTCAACATCCGGTCGCATCCAAACGACTTTACTTGATCAAATGAACTGATCGGACTCTACTGCCTACGTCCGGTCACACCGGGATCAGCGTCCGGTCAATATTTGACCCTCCATTCACTTCCAACTCGAGATCATATGTGAATGAAGTTTTCTCCAATTGATCTTATGGCTACTTTGGAGCTACCTAGTGCTAGATTTGACAAATATACACCACATTTAACCCACTAGACTCACCTAGGTCAAGCTACTAGTCCATACCTCCCTTAATAGTATGACCAAAGAAAAAACAAAGTTCTAAACTACTCTAAGTGTCTCTTCAACACCAAACGACACTTAGAATTAGTCCATCCTTAACCTTGTCGTCCATCCTTTGAAAACCGAAACGATTTCCATCGTAGGGGCATGACAACCATAATTGTCCAATCAATTGCCATTACCATGACCTAACTTAATTGCCTCTGCAAAACACACGTTAGTCATAGTAATCTCGTATTGTCATTAATCACCGAAACCCAATTAGGGGTCTAGATGCTTTTAGTATGTTTCAATTGTTTCATGCTGATGTTGCAAAAGTAGATCGAGATATTGCATATGTTGCGATGGTTATACACGTATGTTGTAAGCGTCTATCCCCAATGTTTCATCTGTTTTTTGTATACGTATGTTGCAAGTGTTTCAGACGCATGTCTTAAGTGTTTCATCTGTTTTCTTTTGTATATTGCAAGTGTTACATCTAGATGTTTTAAAAGTAGATCGGGATGTTGCATATGTTGCAATGGTGTTTCAACTGTATCTGTTTTAGATGTTGTAAATGTTTCATCTGGATATTACAAAAGTAGATCGGGCTGTTGCTACGGCGTGGTCAGTGGATGTCGCTGTGCGGGGGCATGGGGTAGGCGTGGGGGCGCGGGTCCTGCGACGGACGCGGGCACGGATGCTGGGGGTGGGACATGGGACGCAGGGTGTAAGGCGGGATACGGATGCTGGAGCAGCATAGGTGTCGGAGCCATGTCCAGACGTCCGGACGCTAGGCGTACTGTTTCTGCAAACTAGTAAGAAACAAAAATAAGTTTCAAATAATTTTCAAATAAATGTTTTTCTCTTTGTGGTGTTTGATAACGATTCTAATGATTCTATTAAAAATTTGAAACATTTCTCTCTACTAAACACACCTATGGCATGGTTCAGGCATGTCATTTGCCAACGTAATCACCGTTCTTTCTTCTTTGACTTTCTCTTTTCTTCACATATCAGTTGCATACATAAAGAGATAAATGATGAATTTAATTTGTTTTAGATTAGTCTCAAACCCATGCAAGTGATGATTCGCAAAAGTTTCATATCCTCTAAGGGTGTCCCCAATAATAGGATAAAATCGACCGCCGATTTTAAAGATGTGAGTGAATAAAGAAAGAGATAAAAGGAGCACCTACACATTAAAGGAGAAATGAGCCAGATAGTTAGAGACTGGTGTTTTCTCGGGACACGTCTGAGCTTACTAGCACACTCGGACGATTTTATTTTCCACCTTCTCTCTCGTCCACGCGGAATAAAATATAATACCTAATCAGCCTGGTTTATCAGTCATGATACAATATTTTTTCTCATAATAAATCAACGAATAATACTTTTCAGCCTGGCTTTTCAGCGAAACAAACATGCGTGGATGGGCATTGGGGATGGCCTAAAAGCTTGTCCATCATAGCTCTAGCCTCTAACCACATGTAGTTTTGTGTTGTGGACAGACTTAGTGAGTTGTTAGATTATGACATGGCATAGGTTCATCTACCACTTAATAAAAAAAACATCTATTGCATTTTTTATGTTCTAAAATTAATCCTGGAATTACCTACTCATTCAACAAGGCAAATAGATCCTAAACCAAACTTGTATGTTAATGTTAGAAAGTGAATAAAAATAACTACAACTAGAATAGAAAAACAGTAGTAATGAAAAGATTGATTTTAGCATAAAATCATCAATTCTATAATTCATTTTTAGAGATTTATTCGATTTTTTAGAAATCTTCTTATAGATAACTTTATTAAATAAATTTTGCTATTGTACAACGTTTATTTCTTTTATTTTTTCTAGGCGACGAACAACAACCGTTGGATCCTAATCCAACCGTTTCTCCACCTACCACCTGTCGTTTCTCATCCACGGCGGCGTCCTTGACCACGATGCCTGCCTCCACTACTCTTGCTGCATTGACCCGGTGTTTCTGGGACATTTCCATGGCTCCCTGGCCCCTCTCTAGCCCAACCATCGTTCTCCACCGCTCGTGGTCGACAACAGCCCCGCCATCTCGCTATTCGCCCCGTGCTTGCCTCCTCGGCATAACCGGCCTACTTCTCCTAGCACCTTTCTAAACCCGCCGAGCACTAACCCTCTTGAATCTGAAAGCTTTGTTGGCCAAGAGAACAACGTCTAAAATCGTTTTTTAATCCATGTTCCTTTAGTATGGGAAATGTGTTATTTTCTTACTTTTCTTATTTGTATAGACTGTGTATATAAAGTATCTCAACTTTAATTCTAAAATCAGTTCTGTAATTGATAACTCTTTCTTATCTTTAGACTGTTATTAAGCGGTTAATATACGGGAAAACATTAATGACTAATATTCACGAAAAAAAACACAAATGGTTAATTTTGAGAGACAATAGTTTTTTTTAGGTTTTGAGAGACAATAAGGTTAGCACTACAGTCGTGTCACCCGAGCACAAAACCGCAGAGTCGCACCCGAACTGAGGTCGGACACGCGGCTCCGGAGCGGCATCGCTGGACCTTCTTGCTCACCAAGAAGCCCAACCCGGTAAGCCCACCAGGCCAACGCCGTCGCTAGTCGCTACTTCCCCTCCGACTCCGATCCTCGACGCCGACGCATCCACCCGAACCCTCCTCCGCCGCAGCTCCGGCCATGTCGGTGAGTCCCCGCCCCCCCCCCCCTCGCTCCCCGGGCTTCCTCCCTCGCCCCGGATCTCGAATTCCTTACGGTTTCGCCCCCTGCCCATCGCAGATCTTCGAATACAACGGGTCCGCCGTGGTGGCGATGGTGGGGAAGAACTGCTTCGCGATCGCCAGCGACCGGCGGCTGGGCGTGCAGCTTCAGACCATCGCGACCGACTTCCAGCGGGTGTTCAAGATCCACGACAAGCTCTACATCGGCCTCTCGGGGCTCGCCACCGACGCCCAGACGCTGTGAGTCACAGTTGCCGAATTCTCCCCGCCCGCCCCCCACGGGTTGTTGTCTTCGGTTCGGCGGCTTAGGGTTTTTGGGTCCCTCTGCAGGTACCAGCGGTTGGTGTTCAGGCACAAGCTGTATCAGCTGCGGGAGGAGAGGGATATGAAGCCTGAGACCTTCGCCAGCCTTGTCTCTGCGCTCCTCTACGAGAAGAGGTGAGAATTTTGCTAGCGAACTTTTGGTGGAATTGTGTAGGATACTGGATAGACCTTCTGGGGTAGTTGTTATTTTTTTTTATTGATGCCTGCCAGAGCGTGGACTCTGCAAAGATATGCAAAACTTACTGGTTATGTTGGTTGTTAGTATAGGCTGATGCTGCTGGAGGATTTGGTCATAGGAAGCTAGCGATACCTTATACTGTTATTATGGTATTTGGAATGCAGAACTTTGGAGCTAAGATCTTTATATGAAATGCTTTGCCTTTTGGACGGACCATTCCACTAATGGAGTGCTTCAGATACACCTTATATGCTACATTTACTACTTATGCAATAAACTGTTAAGCTATGAGATATCACCTATTTTCTATTAGCCATGAACCATGATGTATCCAGAATTAGCTGAACATAAGCCAACCTCGTAGGCTTTTTTTTAAAAAGGAGTCTTGTTATAATTAGAGTTTCTCAGTTTCATGTTGCAATTTTTTCTCTTCATGGAGTAAGAGGAAACTAAATCATTATCTGGGGAACTAAGGTAATTGTGGTCATGTGCACAAAGATTCTGTTTGGTAAGGACTGTTTTTCAAGCGTTTTAATTCGTAGTTGCTCCAAATTTAGCTCTTATGTTCCAATACTGATACTGATTAATGACAATGTTTGTCTAACTTTTATCATGCCACATGAAACTTTCAGATTCGGGCCATATTTCTGCCAGCCAGTCATTGCTGGACTTGGAGATGACGACGTACCATTTATTTGTACCATGGACTTCATCGGTGCAAAGTATGCATCTGTTTATGCTGTTTTCTTCTTGAATAAGTGCTTTGGTTTGTTTTCTGCTTGGGATTATTGCGTTTTAGGGTCCTAGTGAAGTCGATCTTTTCGGCTACCGAGTCTCATGCCGCTAGTTCATCAAAGTTGTCCTGGAAATGGCACTGGTCTCTGGTTTGTAAAATTTGTTCTTAATATGCTACTTATTTTCAATATTGTCCTGAAAGTGGGCAGTAATACTGTGCTAGAAATTTGAACCGGTGGCATAAGACCATTTTTTTTCAAAACAGTAGTTGAACAAGGAAAGTGCAATTTTCTCAATGGCTTGGAATGAAAATTCCCCTCTGCTTATCATCTGCTTCCATTTTACTGTATTGTGCAATATGCCTATTTAGGTTTTGTTCACCTAGGGACATATTTCAAAAAAAGAAAAGCTACAAGGAAAGTAAATGCAACATGTTATTTAACAAAAAACATGAAATAAAAATAAAACCACACGAAGATCAATTTTCTGAATGCTCATTATTGTTCATTTAGTTGTCCCTCCTGATGCAAATAAACACAACACACACTGACACACAACCTGTTCTTCGTCAACAAATGCATGATGGTCACAAATTTTTTGGACAGAAGAAATTATTGATAATCTGAGTATTGGCAACTTGCTACTTAAATCATATACAATTATATAGTAACATATAGTCTCTCTGGTTCCGAATGGAAGCTGTTTAGGACATCAAGGCAGTATCCAGTGTGGTGACTTGCAATTTTTTGTAAAAAATATTTTAAATAGGAAGCCTATCTTTGGCCATTGAACTATCGCTGCCTCAGTCCGATTTTGGCCATAAAACTCCAAAACCGGACATCTTTGACCATTGGAGTAACAAAGCCAGCAACTTTGGCCCTGATTGGTTTCAAAATTCAAAGGAAGTTCTAGCCTATATATATGTTTTTTTCTAAAAATAATAGAAATATTGTTAAATCTCTAAAAAAATCATAATTAATTCATTTTAATCAAATCCACAAAAATTAGAAACCAGTACCAATTTTTTCTAAAATATAATCTGTCTACTGGGTTTGTTCTATTTGGTTCGGCTGATGGTTTCTACGGCTGATAAGCCGGCTGAAGCTGATTTGTTGTGAGAGAAAAACACTGAGAGAATTGCTCATAGTCGTGACCTTTATTTATTTAAATTATCATTTGTGGTTTACCATGCAGGGAACTGGCCAAGGATTTTGTTGTTTCTGGGACAGCATCAGAATCTTTGTATGGTGCTTGTGAATCCATGTACAAGCCAAATATGGTATGTGCTTCGATGCACGTTGTCAACCTATTTCGCTGACATCCACTTTTGTTTTGGGTCTGCGCCTACCATGTTTTATGAAGTTCTATTTTTTGATGTACATTACTGTAGTTTGTTATGTTCTTAGTCAAATGACATAATCTTGTTATTTTTCATGACATAGGAACCTGATGAACTCTTCGAGACTATATCCCAAGCTCTGAGTTCATCAGTAGACCGTGACTGCCTTAGCGGGTGGGGTGGCTATGTTCTGATTGTGTAAGTTCACTCAGTCATCCGTCGTTACATTCAAGCTATTATGACACTTCATTTACTTGAGCATCAATCTTCTCTTCCCATGACATGCTTTTGTTGGATTCAGGACACCGACTGAAGTGAGGGAGCATGTGATTAAGACCAGGATGGACTAAATCATGGCAACTAGAGTTCTTAGCTTGTTTCCAATGCTTAGACCAATGTTGTGTTTGGATTCTGAAGTAACATTGTATCATCACACAGTTGGTATGAGAAGGAACGTTTGTTTTCTTTACCCCCTGTTTTGCATGACTTCTTCCTGGGTTTCAGCTGAATGGTGGAATACTTGAGTTGATAATATCCTAGATTGAGGAATTGTTCTCTTGCTGAAACGTGAATGGGGTTAACATGTGCTGTATCGCATTCTATGGTTGCGTATCGAAGAGTGCATCCTCATCATATGCTAATATACTCTGAATGCACGCTACTGGTTACTTCAACTAAAACGAATGCTTCGAGGTTCACACGTGCCCTGAAATGTGTATGGGTTGTCTGTTAAGTTAACGTTAGTAATGTGATGATCATTATTTGGTAGATGTAGAATAAAAAAAAGTTTGAGTTGTGCGGCAACATCAACTCGTATAATGATGCATGAGTTGCCTTAGTTTTGAATTTTATGACCTCTCTCCTAACCATGTCATTATGGCACCGTTCGTTTCGCTGAAAAAAAAATAAGTTAAAACATTGTTTTGGCTGATTTGTTGTGAGAGAAAAATACTGTTCCAACTAAAAAAACAAGTTGAAAAAGCGTAGAAACAACCTATCGTACCATTGCCGTGTGTAGCAGCATGCTTGCATGCTTACCCTTATATTTCTTGTATTTAGGTGATGTAAGTGACAACTATGTATGTATCATTGAATTAATGAGAAACTTCATTACTAAAATATTTCGCATGTTAGATCGTCTCTTCAGGAAGTAAGACACTGCACCCGATAGTTTGTACTTCTCCGTTTTGTGTTCTAAAATATGTGGGTTGTTTTTGTTTCTCTCAAGTCAATTCCTCTAATTGTTTATTAAGTTCAAAAAAGTTCATGAACATCAACAGCATAAAATTTGTCTAATTGAATCTACGATAAATTGCCTTGATAACACATTTATTTAGTATGATGATGTTTGTATAGTTTCTAGAAACTTATTTTAAATTCAAAAAGTTTGACAGAATAAAAAAAATTACATTTCGATACAGAAGGAGTGTTTTCAAATGATTTTCTAAATAATACTCTTTTGTCCATTTTTGTAAAGGAACTTGTATGCTGCGTGGCACTATAATAAATGCATAAGACGTTTTTTTGGTAAAAAAAATTTGGAAAATATAATGGTTCCTTTAGAATTTTGTGGTTAGTGGTCCATCGTAGGGTTCTACATGAAGGATCTATTTGTTTACGTGATATTGTAGATGATCTTAAATAGATGCATGTGCTTTTTATAGTACACAATTGGTTTTTGTTTGGTTGTGTTTTTTCGCCAAGCATGTCTAGCAAAATAAAGCCTGACTAGTCCAACCCAACACAAGATAATGCAAGATTGTTGCTTGTTTAACCTGATAATAAAAATATTGTTTGGTTCCTGCATAGTTTTGGTATAGTCACCTTATCTCTGTGAGGGTGATTTTTAGCTCCATCACCTCCACCACCATCTCCCTCGCACTTACCAACACCATCACCATCTCAGAAGGTGGAGCTTGTGCATGCGTGGTGTGTGTGTGTGTGGGGGGGGGGGGGCGACGAGCAAGAGGCGGAGCTCGCGTGGTGGCCGGCTTAGATATGAGGGGTCTAGTGGAACTCGCGAGGTGGCTGAAGACGAGTGCGGGGTCCGCCACACTTGCAGGGGGCCGATGAAGCTCACGTGTGGATAGCGGAAACCGAGACGCAAGAGGAGCTCACGCATGGACAACCGTCCAACAACGAGCGACACATGGACGACCGCCCCACGGGAGGAGTGCAGTGTAGGTGAGCTCCTGAGACGGTGAGGCGGCGTGGCATGGATGGCTAACCAAGCTTGGCTACCTGGAAATGCCCTCCACTTGTTTCTAGCTAGACATCCTCTTCCCACGCTTTTGACTTCCAAGAGCTTGTGGCCTGTTTAGTTTTCCTCTAAAACGCCAAATTTTTCAAGATTCTCCGTCACATCGAATCTTTGGACGCATGCATGAAGCATTAAATATAAATAAAAAATAAAACTAATTACACAGTTTAGACGAAATCCACGAGACGAATTTTTAAGCCTAATTAGACTATGATTGGACACTAATTGCCAAATAACAACGAAAACACTACAGTAGCGTTTTGCCAAAAATTTTGGCAACTAAACTGGGCCTTGGCTTAACAGTTAGGTAGGCATCCAAACACGAAGATGCTGCATTGTGGTAGCCTAGCTTGCCCCTTAAACGTCCATCCAAGTAACCCAATGTGTGTCTTGATGAGTGTACTATTAACTAAAGAAGCTGTAAATAAAAACTATGTTCATAAGACATCGTTTTTTCCTGCTATGTTCAGAGAGTCATGATAAGGCATGCATTTCAGTTGGTTAAGTCCTTCCTCGATATTGTGGCGTCTATAATGACTTCATTATATAAAGATATATCAATCAAGTCTTTCGAAGGTGCTAGTAAAGGTAGAATTCATGCGCGTGCATGCATATGGGTCATATGCGTTTATAGAGGTGAGTGTGCATGTATTTATGTGGGTGCCTATAATGTGTTTCAGCCCTTTTCATGAGAGAACCATAATCTCTTATAAGGTCTTACCAATTGCAATAAAATTAGCTTCATCTTGAAAAAATACTATGATTTATGTTCGCTTGAACTTATCAGCTCCGGCTTATCAGCTATGGTATAATATTTTTCTCTCATAACAAGACAGTATCAGCCGCCTTATCACCCACAAAACCATCAGCCGAACAGCCCGTGACAGCACTTGGATGGCCAGATCGATTAATTGGAACCCGAAAAAGTGCCACCAGACTATAACCATGAAAAGATTTTACCCTGGAATGTTTGTGTCGTTTTGTCCTTTTTGCTTGCTGAAACGATTCCACCCTGGTTTTACTAGATTCCGTTTCTAGCCTCTCCTATACATTATCGATAATAATTTTGTCTAGTAATGTTTTTTAAGTGCAACAAGTTAAAGCAAGTTATATTTAAGTTATTCTTCATAAAAAAAGTTATGAATTTTTTAAAGCATATTTATTTATATGATTTTTTATTTTTTCTAGCCTACCAGCCATGTGCAGTGATTCTAATTCGTCCGAGCCTGAGACTTTCAGTGAGAATTCTGGTTAAAAACACTTTGGAGAGCGAATTCGGATCTAACACGTTTTGGATCCTTGCATCTAACAGTGTTTTTCCTATCATAAAAAATCAGCACCAGCCAACCCAAACCAGCACCAACACCAACACCAATCAACTAACTAGCGAACACGCCGATTATTTATTTTGATGAGGATGGTTAATCTTCTACTAGGTTGCACAACATAGTAGAACAGTCTGACGCACTGACTCAATCCAGGGAACTCGTGGGCCGAGAGATCCAGATCCAACCGCACCACCGCTCCAAGCGACCGCTCCCGTCCAGCCGGCCCGCCCAGCTCGCACCACGGCGGTGGAACCAAACGTGGAAGGGACGGCCAAGGGCGGACGCTGCCTTGGCTGGCGTTGACAGTTAGATGCGACCGCGGGAACGTCCGTCCGACCGCCACCGCGTCCGCCTCAGCTCCCCTCGCCTCCTCGGTTGCCTCTAATCTCCAGCCCAGTAGTGGAAGACTAGAATCGTCGGCGCGACGCCTCGGCAGATTCGTCCGCCCCGATCCCATCACCACCGTGCCCCGCGGGCGACGTCGGGCGGCGGCGATGGCGACGTCGTCGTCGTCGTCGGGGGCGGGGGCGCGCAAGAAGGCCCCCAGCCCCCCGAAGCACCGCCACGACGGCACCTCGCCGCTGCCGCTCGGCATGGACTGGAGCCCTCCCCCGAAGAGATGGGTAAGCGCCCGCCGCCCGCCGCCCGCCGCCCGCCGCCCGCGACCGCCCTCTCGCATCTCTACTACCCAACCCCCGTCGAGCTGCGCCGTCCGGCTCGTCATGATCCATGTCCCGCTATGATCTCGGAGGCAGATGCGGTTCCCGCCAGCTGCGTTGCTGCCTACTGGGGGACCGGCGATCCCACTTCAAGGGCTAGATTTGGTGCCGGTTCGGTCCGTTCTGGAGATGTAGATGTGTTTTACTGTATTGGGGGTTGTCGATCATAGGCAGGCGTTTCCGACCTGGATTTTGCTGCAGCTGAGTAGCGTGTGCTAGTATTGGGTCCAGGTATCAAATGTGCGGGTTGGGATCTGCAGTAAAATTCGCCAAAGTAGAGCGACCTACCCGATGTCCATGATTGCTGATTCAGTAACTTAGAGCTTTCCTTCGATTAGGGTTTTAGATTTCTCATGTTTAACTGGCAAACAGTAGAATATGGACTTGACACATTAGTTTACTCAGTGTGGGATTGGATGAGTCAATTCCAATTTTCTTCCTTCACTTTACTAGGGTTTTGGATTATGTATTCTCTTGCAAGGGGCTGATTATGTGTTTCCTGGTGTACTTTTGCTGAGCGGGATTGCAAAAATCAGATGTACCCAAGCTTCAAAAGATCGTTTGCCTCATTAGTCAGTAGCTGTCTTCTCTTCTGTGGAGTCTTGAGTGTAGCTTTGCTTACCTGGAATATAGGTGTCAGTTGTAATTTTGCTGGTTGATGGCTTGATCCTTTCCATGTTATCATTTAAATTTCTTCCTATGCTGTGCCTGTGATCACTACTGCCTGAAATAATTCTGCATGCTTGATGAGCAAAATTCACTAATGCACATGCATATGTGGCAGAATTTCCATGAAAAGCTGTCTGTTTCTTTTTTGAACGTAAAAAAGCTGTCCGTTTCTAACGGGTTTCAATTAATTAAGAAACATTTCATCTACTCACTATAGTATTTGTTTCAACACAACTCTGAAACTATCTATTGGTCAACGCATCTTCTGAAACTATCTATTGGTCAACGCATCTCATGGGCTCATTGCCTATTGACTGCATACAGGAGGGAAGGAACACCATATGGCCACATAACCCTCAAACAGGTTGGAGTTA